TCCTCCTCCTCCTCCTCCTCCTCCTCCTCCTCCCCCTCCTCCTCCTCCTCCTCCCCCATGTTCCCCCTGTTCCCCCTGTTCCCCCTCCTCCCTCCTCCCTCCTCCCTCCTCCCGAAGGGGAACGGGGGTGGGGGGAGCAGCGCGTCGCGGCCCGAGGCGCGCTTTTTCGCGGACGAGGGGCTTCGCCGGGGGACGTGCTGAGGAGAGGGGGGGGAGGCCAGGAGATCCAGGAGAAGAGGGGGCAGTGCGTCGTGGCCCCAGGCGCGCTTTCGCGGACGAGGGGTTTCGCCAGGGGACGTGCTGAGGAGAAGGGGGGGGGCCAGGAGATCCGGGAGGATGCGGTCGTGGCCCTGGCCATGACATCCACACACCCGCAGTCCTCACCATCCCGAGTCGAGGGACGCAGGAGGACACGCCAACACGATGCGTCCTCCTCCAAGGCGCACGTCCGAACCGACCACAAAGAACACAACCACCTTGTAGTAATGATCGTTTCCCGAGTGGTACGGTCAGAAAGCGCCCGCCACGAAGCATACACTACATTGCTTCTCGGCGCGCGCGCCGTCCCGTGGGGGGGGGGGGGGGGGCGACGCACACGTAGCAGTAGTGTGCTGGGGTGACGCCGACTGTCGGCCACAGTAGGGGCCCGACCACAGAGAAACCTTCCACAAGAAACCCGACCGTGAGACCCCCGCGGACGTCCATGGGTCTTTGGTGTGGGAACGTCACGCTCTTCGTGGCAGAACCCTCGAAACCCAAGAAACCCTGGGCACCCTGGAGGCAAGCAGAGTGTTCCTTGGCATGGGCCTCCACTGCATGTTTGGCATGTTGGGGTGACGCCGATGGTCGGCGACGCGCAGTAGGAGTGACCCTAGGAGAGGGCGACTTTGAAGGGGCCCTGGGACACACAAATAAATTGACGGAGATAACAGGATGCCCCACATTCTCCCACATGCTCTGGGTTTTTTGTCTCCCCCCCACTTCCAACATGTTCCCAGATTTTCTGGGGCATCGACGATTCCTTGTGTCTGTGTGTTTTTTGTTACCCCCCCCGGGTAACTTTTTGCTGGCGCGCGGCTCGCCCATGGATCCCCCTGCAGGCGCTGCGCGACAGAGCGGCCTGCGTGTGCTCCGGTCTGCCCCCTTGGTCGTTTTCCCCGCGCCCCCCGGAAGCCTCGGTGGCAACTCATGGGCGGGGCCTGTCCCCCTGCAGGGGGATTTGGGGCGAGAACTGAAAACTAGTCCAAGAAGTCCACCCAAAAAGCTCAAAAATACTCAAGATCGTCCCCAGACCATTTTTACTGCTTTTGATTTTTCCTCCTGTAGAGGGACAGGCCCGACTTAAGGCAACTCATGGAAGCCTCACGTACCATCGTGTCGGCTGCTGCGAATCGACGCCGATAGACGCCAAATCGACGCCGGATCGACGCTAGATCGACGCTAACCGACGCTAAGTCGGCGCTGTCTCGTCGACCCGCAGACGCTCATCGACGCCAATCGACGCGAAAGACGGAACTGAGAGGGCACACAAGGCTCCCGTGGTTCGTCACCGCAGAGAGCCACGCACCAGATGTCACCCTGGCGAAGGGTCACTCCTGCGTGCAGCAGCTTCGGGGATGGACAGACCCCCCTTTAGTAAAACGTGGTTTAGTGAAAACGACCTGAGGCCCAAACCTGGCGGGCGCAAGCCTGGAAAATAACGGCCACGGCGCCCTCTCGAGAACCGAAAACAGACAATTCACTAATCGACGTGTCACTGTTGGGGGTTCTGTCCACCCCCGACAGCTCTTGGGCTCTCCCGCCAGGCCCACATCCCAGAAGGCTCCGCCCCTGCTTCCCCCCCAAACGTCCCTCCCTGGCCCGCTCTTCGAAGCGGACCCGGCCGTGGCGACGAGAGCCCTCCGGAAGGCCCACGGTGGGCGCAGAGAGTGGGCCCCGCCGTGGGAGCAGGAAGCCCCTCCTGGACGCCCTCGGGGGAAAGCCGGCCCCGGGGAGGAAGGCTCGGGGCCCCCCAGGGGCCCGAGCTCCGTTCGCCGGTGGTCGGGGACGAGATGCTGCCGGCGGCGCTGGCCACCGACCCCACACGCTGCCGTGGCCTGGCGGCCCGCATGCTGGAGGTGAGTGTCGCGTTTGCACGCCTCCTCGCCGCTTCGCACCCTGACTTTACGCGTCGCGATTGCACGTCTGGGATGGAGGGTTTGGAGACCTCCCGCATGGGGTCCGAGTAGATGGGGTCGGAAGATCGCGCCACATCGGCGACGCATCGCCGATGCATCGGGCGATGCATCGGTGTCGTCGGCACGGAGAAGATCGGGCTCCACATCGAGCCGCACGATGCATCGGCGATGCGGCGCGATCCTCCGACCCCATCTGCTCGGACCCAACACGGGAGGCATGGAGACAAGGGCGCCTGAATTCCCGCTTCGCGCTGCGCGAAGCGCGGAGAAGCGTGAATGACTTCGCGCCCTCGCGCCACCCCCAGGGGAGGAGGAGGAGGAGGAGGAGGAGGAGGAGGAGGAGGAGGAGGAGGAGGAGGAGGAGGAGGAGGAGGAGGTGGAGGCGGGGGGGGAGGAGAGAGGAGGAGGGAGAGGAGGAGGAGGAGGAGGAGGGAGGAGGGAGGGGGAGGAGGAGGTGGAGGCGAAGGGGGAGGCGGAGGAGGAGGTCCCCATTACGGAGGCCTGGAGGGCTGTTCCGGCGGGACGGCAAAAAGAAGTGGCACGTCGGGCTACGAGTGGGGCTGGGGAAAAAACCGTGGGCGTGGGGGCAAGCCGCCGCGCTCGGCCCGCTCCCCCTTGGAGAGGGGGGAGGAGGGGGAGGGGGAGGAGGAGGAGGAGGAGGAGGAGGAGGAGGAGGAGGAGGAGGAGGAAGAGGAGGAGGAGAAGGAGAAGGAGGAGGAGGAGGAGGAGGAGGACGGATGACCATTGTAACCCAAGACTCATCAACGATGCTTCAATAAATCCGTTCTCCAAGTTCCATATTCCTAGGACTCCAAAAAGATAAGTATGCGGGAAGGGCCCCATGGGAAGACGACCGTCTGAGAATCCTCAATCATGCCAACACGCTTCTCCAAGGACTTCGGCGCCGCGAATCAACGCTACTGTCGGGTCCTGACAAGCCTAACTCGTCCCAGAACATCATTCCTGGGATTTCACCACCGCGAATCCACGCGACTGCTGCGTCCTGGCAATCCTTCATCGAGCCAGGACACCATACCCGGGAAACTGCTGCAAACATTCAAGACGAATGCGCACGGCGCTGCAGCGAGAGCCACACGTCGAAAAGGAGCCGCCCTCGGTCAGAAAAACGGCTGCAAAATTTCAAAACGAATCTGCGCGGCGCTGAAGCGAGAGCCTCGTTTTGAAAACCGCCCGCCCGCTGGTCGATCGACCCGTGAAACCTCTGCGAGCTTGTAAGACGAGTGTGCGCGGCGCTGAAGCGAGAGCCGCATCTTGAAAACGGCCTGCCCTCCATCCGTGAAATTGCTGCAAATCTCAACCTTCAGGACCATAAATGGTGCGGAAACTTCGGGCGAAACGCCCGGCCCGCCCTACCAGCACGTCTGGGGGTGCAACAGGGAGGAGTAGCTATGTAAGGGAATGGGACGGAGGAGCCGGGAGCCAGGAGCCAGGAGCCAGGAGCCAGGAGCGAGGAGGAGGAGCGAGGAGGAGCGAGGAGGAAGGTCGTGTCCATCACAGTTCTCGTCATCAACACAACGATCACCATCGCCCCCATCCTCAGATCGAAGATCGTCCTGTGCATCATCGTCACAAACCGGTCTTGGCTCTGGGGCAGTGCAGCCACCGTGCTGCCGGCAGAAAGACGGAACAAGGCACGAACGGGATGTTTTGGCCATCGGCGAGCCTCGGCCACGACCAGGTTCCCCGACCTAGCTGCAAAGAACGACCCCGGGAACCCGAGCCCATCCCGAACCCGCAGTGGTCTTCCTGTCGGCGTCTTGAGTGTCTGCCACGTCGTCATGCGTCGGTGTTGACCCTGGGGCAGCACCATGTCATGTGTGGCACACTGCCTCCCCAGCCGGAGCCGTCGGCATCACCACCACCAAGCCTGCACGGCACCTCTTGTCTGCACCGCGTCGGCCCTCCCCTAGGGCGCTTCGGCACATGGCCACTCCCAGGCGACGTGTATGATGGCGTCTGCGCCGAAATGCTCAGCGCCCACCTCAGGGCGCCAGCTTCTCTCTTGCCCATTCTCCCCTCTTCATCCTTGACCACCTTGTCTTCGTCATCCTTCTCATCACCCTCACCGTACACCCCCTCAACGTACACCCCCTCATCATGATTGTCATCGCCATCGTCCTCCTCATGCCCCTTGTCATCATGAGCAGCACTATCAACTATAACAGTCAATCTTGTATCTGGTGTCGTACACAGGTGTCAGTATCGCTCTGAGTTTCCAGAATCACTGGGTCGAGATAACGCATGCCACCTTCCATCGGCATCATCACCATCATTCTCCTCAACCGAAACTCATAGAACAACCCATCGCTGACATAAAAAAGTGGAACGAAACAAACACATAAAGGAAACGGATTACTAGACATCTCGAAGGTCCAGAGACGTCACATAGCAACTGTACAACCGCAAACCAACCGACCCGACAACGAAACCCGAACTGCCCGAATCCGACAGACGGCAGGCGGCCTAGAAGGGCGCGGCGACGTCGCAACGACACAACAACCGACCGAACCGATATGACCGAACGCACTCGACTGCGACGCCGCCCATTCGACCGAACGGCGGACCCTCGGAGCCGGCTCCACGCGGAACCAGCTGAACATCGATCGGAAGCGATTGCAAGCTGTACCCAACCCCATCGCCAATCTGACCCGACATGCGCGAAGCCGGGGTCGAGCGAACTCCGGCAACAGAAGAAGAAAAAGAAACACGTTAACGCATACTTTTGGCGCTCCGCGCGGATTTCTTGGATCCGCACTGGGCTCCCCTGGCGCGCGCAGCGCGCCAGGGGCGGCGCCCCAGGCGCCGCCAGGGGGAGCCCGCGCGGATCCAAAAAATCCGCGCGGAGCGCCAAAAGCGCATGTTTATGGCGTTTGTTCTTCGGGATCAAGAAGCGGCGACGGAGCGGACATGGAGCGCCACAGAAGCTGTGGCGGCGCGGCGCGGAGAGGCGGAGTGGCGCCGAGGCAGCGCAGAGAAGACCGGGAGGAGAGAGGGAGGGGGCCTGGAGGGAGAAGGGCGGCCATAGGGAGAAGAGCAGAAGCAGTTCGATTGCATGCGTATTGCGATGCCGTGGGGCGAGGAGGGATGCGAAGTGGGAGAGTGAGGGCGACGGCGACGACGAGGAGAACAGGACAGAGGGGGGACTGGGCAGAAGAGGAGGACAAAGATGAGGAAGATCAAGATGAGGACGACGTGGATGATCTTACCAATAGGACGTAAATGCGACGCAGGCTGGGCAGTTTTACACGCAGCCTTCCGAGCCGTGACGTGACAACGACGATCGCTCTCTCAAAAATCAGTGCCTGCGGACGTTCGCAAGGGAAACGTACGACGCCCAGCAAACTTCACACAACTGATAAAGCGGGTGGTCGCCCTAAGTATGGTGAGCCCAGTGCAGCACTCGGCCACCGCAAACCACACGTTAGTTGGGGGGCGCAATGGGCACCCATGCCGCTCGGGGCGCGCCAAGGGTCCACGGGCACTCGGGCGCCGGACAAGAATCCACCAGCGAATCAGGCATCTGGCCTCCTCCTGCCGCTCACGTAGAGGAACAAACTGTAAGGGCGCCCGGGGACACACAAGTGAATACACACAGATCCCAAGAGTCCCCATCTTTTCCCAGCCTTTCTGGGTTTTCGTCTTCCCCCCCACTTTCCATACTTTCCTATATTTTCCGGGGGATCGACGATGAATTGTCCCCGCCTGACCAACACCTACATGAAAAAAGACTCTGGAAGGACCGGGAGCGGTGCTGGACCCCTTCCCCTGGCGCGCGGAGGGAACCGGGAGCGGTGCCGGAGGCGCCGCCACCAGGGAGATCCAGCGCCGACCCCAGAAATCCGCGCTTGCCTCCGAGAGCTTCTGCTTCTGCTGATCTTTGATCTCCAGTCAAGCGGCATCAGTTCAGGAGGGGAAAAACCACACAGACATAATTAATCGTCGATTCCCCGGAAAATAGAGGAAGTGGGGGGAAGACGAAGACCAGGAAGGTATGGGAAGAGATGGGGAATCCTGGGATCTGTGTGTATTCATAAGTGGGTGCCCCTGGGCGCCCTTGCGATCTTCAGTCGAGTGCCGTCAGTGCGCGGCACGCGCTACCGTGGCCTGAGCACGAGGAGAGGCACCCGCTGGGAGGCATGCGATTCTTGCGAGGCGTGCTCGGTCCGCCCCGCTCGCGCGGACCCGCTCCGGGGAGGGCGGCCCGCGCTCGGGCGCCCTCCCGGAGGAGGAGGATGCTGCGGGGGCGCGCGCAGCCCCCGCCCCCGGCACCCTCGCATTGAGCAAAAAAAAAGCACGGCGGGCAAATCTTGGCGACTTTGAGCATCGTTTCACCGAGGCCAGCCCCACGTGGCGATTCGCGCCGGCGCCGACTGGGAATCATAGCTGACCAGCCAGTCTCGAACATTCCCAGGCGGCAGCGGCACGAATCACGGCGTGACCCGCTCCCTCCCCCCTCCCCCCCCCCTTGTCACGCCCGCTATCGCCAGAGAATAAAAACGGTCCCAAGATGACGCAAAGAGCCACGCGCAGTCGGCGAGCCCTGAAGGCCATGCACGCGACTCTCAACATCTGCTGGGGGCTGGTTGGCGGCGGCGCGCACAAGGGGGTAGGGGGGAGGGGGAAGGCTTCTTCGGAGGATGGCTGCTTCTTAGAAGGCGCGGGCCTCGAACCTATAGATAAGGCCCGCGCCTTCTGGGAAGCAGGGGCGCGCCCGAAAGGAGCCCTTCCGCCCCCCCCCCCACCGCCCTCTGCCCGTGGCCGAGCTGGGGTGGCGTACAAGCGCCACGCGCAGTCCGCGAGCCTGGCAGGCCGCGCGCGCGACTCTCGACACACGCGGCTCGCGCGCGGGCGCTTCACGGCCGACCGCGCTGGCGATTTCTGCTCGGAGGCCGTCCGAGCGGCCACCCCGCCGCCCGGCCGCTGTAGGGGCGTGCCGCAGGCGCACGGTGCAGGGAGCCTGCGCCGGAGGCCCGGCTCAGTACAGGCAGGGGGTGCAGCTCTGCATCGGGCCCGGGGGGGGCAGGCGAAGGGCGACGCCAGAGGAGGAGACCGCTGCATGAGCATGCACTCTCGGAGCTCCGCGCGGAACTTTTGGATCTGCGCTGATCCCCCCTCCGTGGCGCGCGAACGCGCGCCACGGTCGGCGTCAGAGGCGCGTCCAGGGGGCCCAGCGCAGATCCAAGGAATCCGCGCAGAGCTCCGAAAGTGTATCATTATGCAACTGTTTCCCCTTCGGGATGTTCTCCTCGAACCCCTGCACACATGCCGCGATTACCTCCAACGAACTTGCCTGGCATGCCAGCACTGGGCATTTCCTGGTTGCTGGTAGACGGCCTCCGCGGCCGCGGGCTCCCTGAAGTTCACGAAGGCGATGGACCTGTTCTTCACCTTTTTCGTGGCATCCAGAGGTATGTTAACCAAGTCGTAGGAGTCCTTGAAACGTTGAGAACGCGGGCCAACTCCTTCGGCCAGAGTGCCAGATCCAGGTTCTTGAGCCTCACGGTGGTGACGCCGCTCAGGCCACCACCTGGGAGGACGCAAACCATACACCGGCTGCGCCGAATCTGGCCAGGCCTACGGTGGGCCAAAGATCGGTGTACGCGCCGTCCTGGCTTGGCCCGGAAGTTGCGTAGGAAACAGGGTCGAGCCCCCAAATGATACTGGGATCAGTCTCCCCCGCACGAACCTCCGACACCTGGCAGAAACGCAAGGTTTAGCTCGGGCGTGTCCCCCTACAGGCGGATTTGGGGCGAACAAAAAAAATACTCAGAAAATACTCCCAAAATGTGCCCCCCCCCCCTGTAAAGGGACAGGCCCGACTTAACACAAGGTGAGAAAACTTGGCCACGCCAGGATCTCGGGGTGCGCCTGCGCCGCGGCGGCGGGCGCGCCCGCCGCGCAGGGCGGCGTCCTCTTTGAGCAGGGACCGACCGTCCTGGCATTCCGACAGGCTCACGACGACATGCTTTCAGAACAAAAGAATTCAAGGGGCCCAAGGACACACACATAAATACAATCAGATCCCAGGATGTTCCATATTTACCCATCTGGTCTGGGTGTTTGTCTTCCCTCACTTCCCATATTTTCTATATTTTCCTGGGAGTCGACGATTACTTGTGTCTGTGTGTTTCTTTCCCTCCTGAGACATGTCTTCAGAAGAAAACAATGTCCCAAGAACAGTAGCACGGTTCCTAGGACGTAAAAGACCGAGTGGCTAAAACAGGGCGGCCTCGGCCAGATAAGTTCAAAGTTCAGAAATCCAAATGCGACGTCATGCTTTTTCCATGATGTCGACCCCGAGAATTCTCGGCCCATTCCCCTGGACCGGCTTCTCATCCCGAGTCACTGTCTGACAGCCCCGAGGCCCCAAAAGGGCCCCCTGAGGCCGAATACGGCGCAGAACCTCCCGTCATGACGCTGTCCGGACCCGAGGGGGTCCGGGAAGCTCGTATAGCACATTCTTCGGTGGGCTACAGGCAGGTCGGGACGTTTCGCCACTGCTTGACCTCTGCCGCCAGCCGCCGGGGGGCCCCGAAAGGAGCGCGCGCCGCGGCCCGCCGCGCCCCGACGCGCCCCGCGTCCGCCAGGACCCGCCAGACCAGGGGGGGAAGGAGGAGGAGGAGGAGGAGGAAGAGGAGGAAGAGACGGAGGAGGAGAAGGAGGAGGAGGAGGAGGAGGAGGCGGAGGAGGCGGAGGAGAGGAGGAGGAGGAGGAGGATGAGGAGGAGGAGGAGAAAGGAGGAGGAGGAGGAGGGGAGGAAGGAGGAGGAGGCGACGGGAGGAGGAAAGGAGGAGGAGGAGGAGGAGAAGGAGGAGGAGGATGCGGAGGAGGAGGAGGCGGAGGAGGAGGCGGAGGAGGAGGGGGAGGGGGAGGGGGAGGAGGGGCAAGAGGAGGAGGAGGAGGAGGAGGAGGAGGAGGAGGTGGAGGAAGAGGAGGAGCTGGCCTGTGCGCGGCCGGCGGGGCCGCCTCGCTCGGGCGCCCCCTGGGGATCCGCCGCGGCCAGCGCCCCCGCCGCGCAGGGCGGCACCCAGGCGGCCCCCAGCACAGAAGCGCGCCCAAGCGTCGGCGGCCTGGCTGGCCTCGGTCGGCACGCGGGCGGCGTCAGCGCGATCGGCACGGCCGTCAGCGGACGGCCTCGGGGACCACGGCGGCGCGGCCATCGCGGCTCAGCGACACATTTGGCAACCGCCGAGCTGAGCGCGCGCGCGCCATGCTGGCGCGCGCTGTGGCAAGGCGGCAGCCACGGGGCGCCGGCGGCGGCCGCAGCGAGGACAAGAGGCTGCGGGACCATCGGTCACGGGCGTGACAACGAAACAAAAACGCGGTGGTTGTTTTTGTTGTACGCTTGCTCTGGCTTCGGACGCACACAGTAGGTACGTAGAAAAGTACGTAGCATCCCGCAGTTGCGGAGAAGAGTCAGGGGGTGGCGGGGTCGTCGGCAGCCTGTGAGGCTCTGAAGAAGCCCGCCGCAGGTGCTCCATGTTTAGAGCACGTTGCACAACGAGCCCGCCGTGGGTGCCAATTCGTCAAAGCAGTGCGGGCGGGTCTCGGGTGGGGCGCGGAGAGGGGGGGGGGCCGCCGGTGGCTCGCAGAGTAGGTCGCGGGGCGGGTCGCGGGTCGCTCCTGGGGCGGGTCGCGGGTGGGACGACGACAACTCATAAGCAGAACCCGCGCCGCGGAACTCCACTTCGGCCACGCACCCAGGGACATGGAATGACCGTTCGGGCCCCTCACTCTGACGATGCCCAGCAACAAGTGGTGTCCAACACCAGCACCAATAGCGTCCGCTGTTGGGCAGGCGGCTTTCAGTCTCAAACGGGCAACGCCCACGGTGGCCAGCGACTCCGGTCCAAAATTGGCAAGAGCTGCTGTCGGTCTTCGTACCCCTCCTCTCCGTATCTACTTCGGTCGGACCAATCTCTAGCATGTGGAAGCCGTTCCCCGGCCCTGGGAGCCGACTCCAGGTGGACAGCGGGCCCTGGGGAAGGATACCCGATACCCCGGGCCACGAACAAATGGCGACGTCGGAGGAGAGGGAGGCTCCACACCTCTGGCGGCTTTGACTTGTTCCACTGCCCTCTGAGGGGGCCGTTTCAGTCAAACAAAGATCCTCGATGAAACAGTACTCGGGGAAGCTCTGCGGCCAACGAATCCATACAAAAAACGAAGTCGAAGCCTTGAACTTTCCCGCCCCCCGCCCTCTTTCTCCTCCTCTTACATCCGTTTCCCTCCTCCCTCCTCTCGGTCAATCACCTTCAGGCCGACGGCGGCGGCAAAATCTGTTAATCACTCTTCTTCCCCAGTGTGGTCAGGCAGCCTCCTGGCCCGTGGGGGGGAGAAGAGGGATGGAGAAGGAATTACGATAGAACGTAGGCCAGAAGAACATCACTCAAGAACATGAGACCCTCACTCGGCCAAAACACCCCATGCTGGAGGCGCCAGTGTATCAAGGATAGCGCCCCGCGGCAGGGCACCCCCCCGCTTTCTTGCCATCGCTCGGACGTCCATTCCCTGTGCACTCTTTGCGATATCCTGCGTTCTTTTTCAGCCGCGAGATTATCCAAGATGCTTCCCATTGGTCCTCGCCCAGACTTACAAAAAAACGCACACGTCCGAGCGATGCCAAGTGTCCCTACAGTAGGAACCCGACCACAAGACACCTTCCACAAGAAACCCAACCCTGGACCCCCTGGACGTCCCTTGATTTTTGGTGTAGGAGCGTCACGCCTTCCATACCAGAATCATCGAAGCCCAAGAAACCTAGGGCACCCTGGAAGCGAGCATGGTGTTTCTTGGCATGGGTCTCCACTCTACCGCTACTCCCCCGACCTCTCCCGGGGTGCGCTCTGGCCAGGATGCCGAGGCGAATCCGCCTGCGGCGACGAGGGCCTCCCAGGAGGCCAAAAAAAATGGGAAGACGAGGCAGGGGTGGCAGTACGGATACTCCGGATTCCATGAGAAAGTCGGGGGGGGTCACATTTGGGGGGGGTCTGATTTGAGCTGTCTTGGAGGGATCGGGGAGGTCTGGGCAAAGGGCCGCCCTTTCATGGATGGTCTGGGAGGGTCTAAAGCTTCTCGTCTGGGAGGGTTGCGGCCCCCTCCCTTTTATTACGAAATCTGGAGTAGTAACTTTTCCTCCTCCGAGTTGGAGGTGCTGGCACGGGTCTCCTACGCTTCCGCCCGACGCCAGTGGAGTGGCACGCGGTGCAAGCCCAAAAAACCCAGGGCACCCTGGAGGCAAGCAGGGTGTTTCTTGGCGTGGGTCTCCACTGTATCCCCCACGCTTCCGTCCGACGCGAATGAAGTGGCACGCGCGGTGCGGGCTGGAGGGCTCCCTGCCCTGCCGGGACGGTTCACCGTGGCGCCTTTGGCCAGGCAGCGGCAGGAAAAGCAGCACGAACAGGAGCAGCGGCGGCGGCAGGAGGAGCTCCTCCTCCTGCTCCACCTCCTCCTCCTCCTCCTCCTCCTCCTCCTCCTCCTGCTCCTCCTCCTCTGCAACCACCACCAGATCACCATCATCATCATCATCATCATCATCATCATCATCATCATCATCATCATCATCATCATCATCATCATCATCATCATCATCATCATCATCAGCATCATCATCATCATCATCATCATCATCATCATCATCATCATCATCATCATCATCATCATCATTCACATCATCATCATCATCATCATCATCATCATCATCATCATCATCATCATCATCATCATCATCATCATCATCATCATCATCATCATCATCATCATCATCATCATCATCATCATCATCATCATCATCATCATCATCATCATCATCAGCATCATCATCAGCTTATTCATCATCATCGTCATCAGCATCAGCATCAGCATCAGCATCATCATCATCAGCAGCATCATCAGCCTCAGCATCATCATCCTCATCATCAACAGCAGCATCATCATCCGTAGCAGCATCATCTTCACCATCATCATCATCATCATCATCATCAGCATCATCACCATCATCATCATCATCATCATCATCAGCAGCAGCAGCAGCAGCAGCATCATCTGCATCATCAGCAGCAGCATCAGCATAAGCTTCAACCTCATCCTCATCATCAGCAGCATCGTCATCATGTTCCTCATCCTCATCATCACAACCATCATCAGCATCATCATCAACGCTACCATCATAGACAAGAACAACACCACCACCCCCACCATCACCATCACCACCACCACCATCATCATCATCATCATCATCAGAAGAATCAGCATCATCATCAGCATTATCAACAGCAACAGCATCAGAATATCCCTTCCCATCATCAACAACACCAACATCATAATCTCACCACCACCGACATTATCACTACCACAATTACCATCACCATCACCATCATCATCAGAATCATCATCAGCAGCAGCAGCATCGGCAGCATCAACAACAGCAGCAGCAGCACCCTCCTCCTCCTCTTCATCATCATCATCATCATCATCAGCATCACCACCACCATCATCACCACCACCACCAGCATCAGCATCAGCATCAGCATCAGCATCAGCATCAGCATCAGCATCAGCATCATCATCAGAATCAGCATCATCAGCATCATCATCATCATCGCCCCTTCCCCACGCTCCTCCACATAGAAGACGGAAGGATCAGACAGTCTGCCCAAAGCGCTGTCCTCGTCCACGCTGCTGCTCCCGAAGGTAGAGTCCCCCAGGATGAAGACCTCGCGTGGTGCTCGCAGCGGGGGGGGTCGTCACCCACGGCCTCGGCCTCTGCCTGCGCCTCCGCCATCATGCACCCCCAGCCCCCTGCCACACCCTCACCAGTTTCACACGTGTCTCCAAGCCATCCTCTTCCTGTTGCGTCTCCTCCTCTCCGTTGCCCTGTTCCCCCTCTCCCCATGTATCCCCCTCCTCATCCTCCGCATCATCCACCACATCTTCCTCCTGATTCCAACCAGGAGGTATGATCTACCTGGACGTCGTCTTCGGAATTGCCGTTATAGTCAGCCTTGCCATCGCAGACGACCTATGTTGCTAATTTGGTGCGCAAACACCGGATATGAGCCCCATGGTGGTCATCATCAACATCATCATCAGAAGCAACAGCCACATCAACAGCAGCACTCACATCACCAGAATCAGAATCCATGTCATCAACACCACCGTCGGCGGCAACATCATCATCGTCGTCAGCACCATCATGGTCATTATCCTCATCATCCGCATGACCGTCATCATCACCATAATGACCCGCATCAGCACCATCCCCACAATCACCATCATCATCATCATCATCATCAGCAGCATCATCAGCATCACCACCATCATCATCATCAGCATCATCACCGCCACCGTCAGCAGCATCTTCATCGTCGTCACCACCATCATGACCCATAGTATCAACATGACCGCCATCATCAACATCACCACCGTCATCACCAGCGTTATCATAGTCACCACCGTCGGCGGCATCATCATCATCATCATCACCGTCACCATGACCATCCTGATCAGCATCCTCATCATCAGCATCACCATCAGCAACATCATCATCACCACTACGAACATCATCCCAAGCATCACCATCATAATCCTCAGCATCCCCATCATCGTGGCGTCCCTTTCACGTCAGACGCGCGCCGAAACGTCGTTGGTGCGCGTTGGCGCCAGGCTCACTCGCCCTGGCAGGGACCCCGATGCCCATGGGTCCTACGACAGGTTAGCACGCACCTTCATCAGCTTTCCATACAGACCTGTTCACGCGCCCGCTGCGCTGTGGGTCCAATGACACACCCGGCCCACGGCCCCGACGGGGCAACAGTGGAGCACCCACTGCCCCGGGGGGGCTGCAGTGGGCGAATCGTGAGGTTGGAAACCCAACGGCTGCACACCACCTGCATCTCCGCAAAGGCGGCGTCGGGCTGGTCCAACATCCCGGCCGCCAGCCCAGCATGCTGCAAGAGGCGCTTGATGGGGGGGAGCAGCGGTGACCGCGATGCCATCCACCTCGACACCCTTGCGGAGAACTCGAACAGATCGCACGACTCCCTCCTTGACCGACACGGGAACCTCATGCGCGGCTAACGAGTCCCTGAAGGCCCGCTGATAGACCGTCTCCTCCGTCCAGTCGTGGGCAGCAGCCTCGACGAACTCGGTCTCCTCAGAGTCGCCAGCGTACGTGGTCCAGTACCACAGTTGCCCAGCCGACTCCCGAACCGGGAAAAGCATGCCACGCCGCAACTCTTGGTTGGAGGCCAGGCTAGCACTCTCCCACAGGCCCGTAGTCACGATCCGGCGGAGCATGCGTTGCACTACGCCGACTGCAAACAGCTACCCCAGCGGGATCTCCTTGACGCACACATACTGAAGAGCGCACGTCCCGTCGAGACCAGAAGGGCGCCGCGGCTTAGAGAAGATGAACCAGCGCCACCAGCGCAGTGGCAGCGTGCACTGGTGGAAGCAGTCCGAAATGTCGCAACCCGAGAAGAACGCAACCTCGCCGTCCATGAGCGCCGCCTTCGTGTACTCCCCAGGGAGCGGCAGGTTATCGATGTCGCCTGAGATCAAGGTCTGGCCAGCGCTGTTGGGCGCGGATTCGCGATCAGCCTGAACTGATGTGGATACTGCGGCGGGGCATCCCCCGTCTTGCGAACCCTGGACGCCCTGTCGGCAAGCCTTCTCTCATGGACCACGGGGATGTGCTCCGTCTACCAGGGCTAGAATTCCTCCGTCGAAGAGCTGCTCGGTGGCGATGTCCCACTCGTCGTCCTCGCAGTGCACCTTTACGGCGGCCACCTCGGGCCACTGGTCGAGCGGCAGCGCGAATTGGGCCTCGCTCTCCAGGGCAGCGCGCACCGAAGGGCCGCAGAAATGAACGGCCCAGGGTTTCCCGCAGTTCTCAGGGGAAGGCAGGCTCGGCGCAATCTGCGCCGAAGCGATCACCTCTGACTTGGACGCCACTTCGCCGCGCCCGAAGCCGGTCGTCTTGACCTCCTGCTTCCAGACCACCTTCGGGGCAGTGGTATCGCCGCCGCGGCGTGTGCACAGGCGCGCGGCGGACCCCCCCCTTTATCTCCCCGATGGCCCCCTGCTGCGTCGCCGCGCGCAGGCCCCAATGACACAGCGGTCCGAGTTGATGCGGCTCGCGAGGAGGGCCTGCAGGCAGGTCCAGGCGCCGACGCCAACCTTCCATCGGAAGTCGCGGCGGTCGTCTGCGCCGTAGACCCCCGTGCTTCGCTCGGGGTAGCTGAAGCACTTGAATAGCGCGCTGATGTAGCCGCCGTCGCTGGGCAGGGGCGGCGGCGCCACGTCCCGCCGCCTCGCGGCCACCTCGAAACTCGACCGCACGGCGCGCTGCCTCGAAGATCTGCCCCGCCCTCTGCCACAGCAGCCTCGCGCCAGAGCGAAGGATGAGGCGCAGCATTTGCGCCCCCATCTTCGCGATGCTCTGTTCCCCGCCGCGCAGGCTGCGAAGCGCCATACCCACCATCTTGTTTTGTGCTGAACATCAACCCCGACCCAAGGGGATGGAGCTCTGGTGGGCGCCCTCACTTGCCCGACCCGGGACCCCTCCGACGCAGATACCCGCCCCCCAAACCTCGGCCCCAGGGGCGGCCGCTGCCGCGGCGCGGTCGCCCCATCCGTCGGGACACTGGCGCGTCGACCTGCGACCGTCTGAGCTCGCGCCGCTGGCGCCAGGATCACCTTCCGCTGCGCCGCTGGCCGCTGGCCGCTGGACTAGGAGTTAGGCCGATGCTGCCGTTGCAGCCCGCAGCCAGCCCTTGCGCTGCCCCTGCGGGGCTGGCGCCGCTGCTGCGCCTGACTGGACGGCGGGCTGCTGGGCCACCCTCCTCCTCGCCTTCTCCGACCGCTTCCCGAACGCCCTGCAGCTCGGCTTCCAACGCGGGGCAGCTCCGCGACGGAAGCCTGCTCCAGCAGGTGCCCGACCAGGGGGGCCCCTAGATCGATCTCGTCGAGCCGACGAACGCACGGCTTCAACTTGGCATTCGCCTTCGGCTTCCCCTTGGCCTGAGGTCGCGGATGGGGGCGTCGCCGCCGCTTGCCGCCGCGGCGAAGACCTCCTCCTCCTCCTTGCCATAATTACTCGATGGCGGCATGGGGCTCTGGAGGTTCATCTGCCTTCGCCCTCTTCCTTCGCTGGCGAGGCTTGCGCTTCATCACCAGCGCTGGCGCCTCCGGCCCCGCGGGTCCACTGGCCTGCGCTGCCTCGGCTCTTGCTCTCGGCGGCAGCGGGCTCCACTCGCGGCACGGCCCCTCCCCTGACGGTCTGGCGGAGGCGGGGCGGAGGCGGGGCGCTTCCTGCCGCCAGGGCGCCCGCGCGGAGCCGTGCACACAGTCCGCCCTCCCCGACCCCGACTGGGAGGACGAGCGTCTGCTGCAGAGCCTCGGAGCGGGCGCGGCACGGCCTGCCCGAGCCCTCGGCCTCCGCGGGCGGCTCTGCGCGTGTGGGGGGTGGGGGGGGGGGGGGGCAACACCCCGCTTGGCGGGCCCTGGCATCCGGGCCTCACGGGCGGCGGCCCCCCCTCGTGGACCGCGACGACCGGAGAATGGGCGCGTTCGGTGGGCGCGCATGGGGGGGTCTCAAGACCGCCCCGAGAAGCAAAAATCGATGGTATCCCGTGGGCGTTTCAGTGTTACTGGGGTCATCGTCTTCTCGAGCTTCCGACGCTCCAAGACGGCCCAAGATGCCCCATAGACCGCCCCCAACGGCCCAAGAGGCACCTACGAGAGCCCCAGGACGGTCAAAGAGGGTTCCACGACGGCCCGAAGAGGGCCCAAGACGGCCAACGATCGCCCCAACAAGGCCCCAAGAGAGGCCAAGAGGGGGAACACGAACCGAAAATCATATCCCTCTGCCCCAAGAGGCCTTCCAAAGGCCCCGTAAAGCCCCCAAGCGGCCTAAAAGATAGTCAGGGTTCTGCCCAAGAGGCCCAAAAGAGGCCCCAGAACGATCCCCAAGACGCTTCAAAACTGCCTCCAAGCTCCACCAGGCCCCCAAACAGCTCCCAAGAAACCCACAAGAGTTCCCAGATACTGCTCAAAAAGCCCACGACGCCTTTACAGTGCTCCCCGCCTCTTTTAGATGTCGGCGGAATGGCGTGCGCCTCTTGCACATGGTCCAACCATGTATATCCTGCTGCCCCAGCCCTCGCGATCATCTGATCAACGTCGTCGTCCAGAAGGTGCGATGTTCCAACAATTTCGTTGTTTCGCATATTTTAAATCATTCAGCACAAAAGGTTGGGCCAAAGACCAGCGTCAAAACTTCTTTGCTGATCGTGGGCAGCTGTGCATACTTCCAGGGCGGCGCCCAAGCCGGCGTTGAAGCTTTCAACGTTTTCAGCGGTATCTCCGTCATTCCATACTCCTCGCCCAAGTCTGACAAGGTCGCGCTGCCTCGCGGGGACGAAACCCGAATATGTCGTCACGGGCGTTGCGGGCCAATGCTGTCAGACATATGTCCCTCTCCATCGGGAATAGACGCATGCCCATTGTTTGAGGCAGCGCCATGATGTCATGATCGTCGCCCACCATCCATGGCACCTGCATACTTGCATCGCTGCGCCGAACACGCTCGGCTCGGCAACCCCATTCGAGCAAGCCTCAGTGACACAGTGCCAACCTCGCTGCTGAGCGTGAGGTCTTGTTCTTGTGGCGCACTGGGGATGCTCCGTCGCTGCGACGTTGCAGAATTGACTGAGCGGGGCCCGCCTGCAACGTCAGCAGCAGCGAAAGATTCGCCCCTGCTCGGACGCCCATTCCCTGTGCATTGTTCGGCGTCGTGTGCTCACGCTGTCGCGAGATGGTCCAATATGCTCCTCGATGGCCCTCGCCGAAAAAAAAAAAAAACAACAAAAAAAAAAAAAAAACGTCCGAGCGATGCCACGAGGAGGTGCTTCGCCCACCGGCGAACGGGCACCGCGAGCAGCCGCGGGCGGGCGGTGCAGCGGGCTCGCGGGTCCATGCCCACACGCCACGGGCCGTCGGCATGCAGCTGCTCTCACAGCAGCTGCTCTCGCAGAAGACAACCTGAGCTAAAGGCTACGAACACACACACACACACACACACACACTTCAGTCGGCGGCGCAGAGGTTCCTCAGGCGCGGACGGCAGATGGAAGTGCCACTTGCGATCGAGCATTGTCGAAGGCACAGTGCACAAATCGTGCACCCTGGCAAGTGCAGCGATGGGTGGTGTGAAAGAAAAACTTCGAATCCATGCGAGTCCTGCAGCGGCGGACACACACACAGAAGCACACACGGCATCGCTACCGAGATGAGCAAGAAGCACCACACTCGCCGGCCCGAAGTCCCACAGGCGTGGAGCCCTTGAACAAGCAGCCCAGGTAAAGAGTACCTACGGCCAGACCTAGGACATAAGAACATCCTTCAAGAACATGCCATACCGAAGAACACTCGAGGGCCACCCTCCCCCAGGATGCACAATAACATCCACCAAACACGACATTAGGGTACCCTCCCCGAACCGACCTCGCTCTGATGCATCGGTCCGAACGACGTAGGTATATGTGTCTAGTCCGCGGACGCGCACGAGGGTGGCCCTGCGCAGGAATCGGGGCGATGGCCCCCAGAGAGAAGAGGGAAAAAGCCTGCCCACGGCCCTCCAAGAGCGCGGGTCAGCCGTGCAAAAAACATATGTGTTAAGTACGTGTGTCTTCCGTGCTTCAATCGGCTCCTGGGCGCACGAGGAACAGCGTGAGGGCATGGAGCGTGTGAGGACGCGACCCTCTGACCCCATCTGCTCGGACCCCACTCGGGAGCCTGACTGCAAGGGCGACTGAGATCCGCGCTTCGCGCCGCGCCGCGCGGTGCGCGAAGCGCGAAGCGCGAATGGCTTCGCGCCCTCGTTCCACCCCCCTGGGGAGAAGGACGAGGACGAGGAGGAGGAGGAGGGGGAGAAGGAAGAGGGGGGGCTTGGGTGGAGGAAGAGGAGGAGGATGAAGAGGGGGACGGGGAGGAGGCGGACGAGGGGAGAGGCGGAGCGGAAAAAGCGGCGGACCGCGAGGGCGCGAACACCTTCGCGCCCTCGTGGGCGCCCTTGTGGAGGGGAGGCGATGGAGCAGGAACCGATGGTCCAGAAGTTCCTATACAGTCGGCCCGTCTCATAAGGATGCCCGATAAGGATGCAAGGGTCTTGCAAGGCCGTTTCGAGACTTTTCGACCGGGGCGGGGCCAACGACAGTGGTCAAGAATGCACCGAGGAGGCAAGGATGCAAGGGTACCCTGGGGAAGGCTGCCCATCCTTACTGTGCGGGTTGCCTGTACCACGGCGTGTTCTTAGACCACAACCATGTTCCGACCACAAGAGCAATGCTCCCAAAAAGAGAAGGCCGACGGACCAGAACTGGACAGGCGCAGCCAGCAAGACTCTCCAGGAACATGTAGCGCAAGCCACAGCAGGTTCTTAGAACATTCCGTGGTGGGCCCATGGTCGGGGGCGCGCAAACACGGATTAGCGATCCATGGATTGGCGCGCGGTCGCCCAATCCATGGATCGGCGGAGAAGCCCTTCCAAAAATGCGGCCGGTGCCGCCTCGCTCGGCGGCGGAAATCCGCGATATCCTATGGAAACGGGAACCATCGCTGATCCACGCCCCCTTCGATCCATGTTTGCGATCGCCCGACACAGGCGAGCCAGGGCGCCCGCCACTGCCTGAGGCGAGTCGCGCGCTCGCGCGCGCGCGCGCGCCTTGCAGCCCGGCAGCGAGCGCTGCAGCTCGGACACCAGCTCCGGTGCGCCCGCGAGGAGCTCGTCCGGGAACTGCACCGCGACGCGCTCGGGCCGCGGCCGGGCGCAGCCCCCCCAACCCCCCGGGGGTGCAGCGGAGGCCAGTCCGCAAGAAGCCTTCCACGAGGAGCCCAACCCTGAGACCCCAGGACGTTTTTTTGATGTATGTTTGATTTATCCTCGGGCTATCGTCAGAACAATAACTCCTGCACGTAGGCGACGCGCGATGGAAGGGCCCGAGAAGGGCAGAACGAAACCGAAGGACGGACCCCAGGAAACCACAGACACGAGCGGAGGGACACGACCGAAGAAAAGGGGCCACGAAACAACGAGGGCCCGAAAGCAGCAAGTGATGCAATTTTTGGTGTGGGAACGTCACGCTTTATATGGCGAAACCATCGAAACCCAAGAAACCCGGGGCACCCTGGAGGCGAGCAGGGTGTTTCTTGGCACGGGGCCCCCGCTGTAGGAGGCGACTCCTGGGAGGTCTTCGCTAGAACGAGTAAGGGGCCACGAAGCCAGATCAGGGGGCCACTGAGCTGGATCGGGCCAGCTTGGGCCCGGGACACAGCCGGATGCGCCAGGATTGAGCCGGACTCGAGCGGAATTCAGCTAGGTAAAGCCAGTTTTCGACCATGGATCTACCAGCGCCCATTCTGAATTTAGTCTCCCAAGATTTGCACTCTTTCTGTTTCATCCTCGAAAGACCTTGTGTGTCCCGTCGCGGCCCTATCCACGTCGAATCCGTGTCGAATCCGTGTCGGGATCGTCGGATCCGTGTCGACTCCGCGTCCGAATCCGCGCCCGGATCCGCACCAAATCCGCGTCGAGTCCGCATCGAGCCCGCGTCGGGCACAAGAAAAGACACGAAGTCTGGGAACAGGCTTAGGTCCCCCGGAAGATGCAACGTAACACTCTGACCGGGGGAGTCGGAAACACCCGCGGCAAGGGGGCGACGACCACAGCGCGAGGCCGAGGCTTTCGAGGCGTTCGACCTCGAAGGCCCCGGAGGCCTCGACATCGCGCTGTGGGCAGCATCTCCGCCTCGAAGGCTTCAAGGCCTCGAAAGCTCTGAAAGCACGCCGACTGCTCCTCCTCCTCCTCCTCCTCCTCCTCCTCCTCCTCCTCCTCCTCCTCCTCCTCCTCCTCGATTTCGACCTCTCCCCCCGCCTCGTCCTCCGCCTCCTCCCCCTCCTCCTCCTCCTCCTCCTCCTCCTCCTCCTCCTCCTCCTCCTCCTCCTCCTCCTCCTCCTCCTCCCCCCCTCCTCCTCCTGGCAGGGTGCTTCCTAGCATGGGCCCCCCTGTCTGTTCAGGTCGCTGTCTCCTCATCCAAGAGGAGGAGGAGGAGGAGGAGGAGGAGGAGGAGGAGGAGGAGGAGGAGGAGGAGGAGGAGGAGGAGGTGGTCGGTCGCCGACGACCCGCGGCAGAGGGGGGGAGGCGAAACGCGCAGCGCGCGAGGCTCGGCTCGAGAGGCCTCCCCGAGGATCGAGAGAGGACCCTCAAAGGATCGGGGGCAGGGCGAGGCTTTCGGACGCTCTCGGGCCCCTCTTGGCAGCCTCGAACTATCGAGGATCGAGGATGGAGGCCCCTCGAGGGATCGGGGGCAGGGCGAGGCTTTCGGACGCCCTGGGCCCTTCTTTGGCAGCCTCGGATTATGGAGGATCGAGGATCGAGGACCGAGGATGAGGCCCCTCGGGGGATCGAGGGCAGGGCGAGGCTTTCGGACGCCCTGGGCCCTTCTTTGGCAGCCTCCCAGAGCCTCCGTGGGCCTCCCAGGGCCACTGGAAGATTGAAGGCCAAAATTAGCGGACGAAGGAGACGAAGAAGAAAAATATAAAGAAAAATGAGAAAAAGAAGAAGAAGAAGAAGAAGAAGAAGAAGACGAAGAAGAAGAAGGAGAAGAAGGAAGACGCCGTGCACGTCAGATACAAGTGAAATCAGTACCAAAGAGAAGAATAAGAAGGAGAAGAAGAAAGACGCCGTGCACGGGACGTTGAACGGTACGTATCACCCCGCAATTGCGGATAAGAGTGAGGGGGCGGGCGCGGGCGACGCGGGCGTCGTCGAGCCGGCGGACCTCGTGGCCCCCACCTTCCCTGTCGATGGCGCTCTCCTCCTCCTCCTCCTCCTCCTCCCTCCTCCTCTCCTCCTCCTCCTCTTCCTCTTCCTCGTCCTCATCGTCATCGTCATCCTCCTCCTCCACCTCGTCCTCCTCTCTCTCTCCTCCTCCTCCTCCTCCTCTTCTTCCTCGTCCTCCCTCTCCCCCCCTCGTCCTTTCATCATCGTCCTCCCATTGTCGTCCTCCCCCTCATCGGCCTCCATCATCGTCCTCCCATTGTCGTCCATCATCATCATCATCATCATCATCATCATCATCATCATCATCATCATCATCATCATCATCATCATCATCATCATCATCATCATCATCAGCATCATCATCATCATCATCATCATCATCATCATCATCATCATCATCATCATCATCATCCTCATCCTCATCATCATTCATTCATCATCCTCATCATCATCATCATCATCATCATCATCATCATCATCATCATCATCATCATCATCATCATCATCATCATCATCATCATCATCATCATCATCATATCATCATCATCATCATCATCATCATCATCATCATCATCATCATCATCATCATCATCATCATCATCATCATCATCATCATCATCATCATCATCATCATCATCATCATCATCATCATCATCATCATCATCATCATCATCATCATCCCCCTCCTCCCCCTCCTCGTCCTCCTCCTCCCCCTCCTCCCCCTCCTCCCCCTCCTCGTCCTCCTGCTCATCCTCCTTTTCTTGATCAACATTATCCTTACATCCTCTCTTCTTCCGCGTTCTCCTCGTCCCCTGTTTACTCCTCCTGCCTCCCCCTCCTTTCCCAAGATAACTGCAACGCAATCCTTTTTTCCACTTTATGCTCCCCGCCTTCTCTGATCAAGGCAACTCGCCAGGGCAGAGTTGCTGGACGGGCTGGTGTGGATGTGCGGGGCTTGAAGAGGTCCTCGCGGGCTCAGACGGCCTGCAAAAATCCGCCGCCGCGCTTGTGCGGCATTGGTTTGTTCAGTGAACGTGGTTTAGGTCGCGGGCTCTCCACCTCCACCTGGAAGGAATGCAAAAGCAGCCCGCCGCAGGCGCCAAAAAAAATGGTTTGTACACTGAACGTGGTTTGGGTCGCGGGTGGGCCGCGGGTTCTGCACCGGGAACGAATGCAAAAGATGCCCGCCGCAGGCGCCGAAAAATATGGTTTGTACCCTGAACGTGGTCGCGGGTGGGCCGCGGGCTCTCCACCTGAAACGAATGTAAAAGATGCCCGCCGCAGGCGCCGAAAAATGTGGTTTGTACTCTGAACGTGGTTTGGGTCGCGGGTTGGTCGCGAGGTGGTCACGGGGTGGGTCGCGGGCTCTCCACCTGGAAGGAATGCAAAAAAAACCCGCCGCGGGCGCCGAAAATGGTGGTTTGTACCTTGAACGTGGTTTGGGTCGCGGGTGGGTCGCGGGTGGGTCGCGGGGTAGTTCGCGGGGGGGTCGCAGGTGGGTCGCGGGTGGGTCGCGGGTGGGTCGCGGGTGGGTCGCGGGGTGGGTCGCGGGGTGGGTCGCGGGGTGGGTCGCGGGGTGGGTCGCGGGGTGGGTCGCGGGGTGGGTCGCGGGGTGGGTCGCGGGTCGGGTGGGTCGCGGGTGGGTCGCGGGGTGGGTCGCGGGGTGGGTCGCGGGTGGGTCGCGGGGCGGGTTGCGGGTGTGGGACGACGACAACAACAAACAACAAACAACAACAACAACAACAACAACAACAACCATTTTAAGGCTGTACGCTCTTACTTGCCCGCGAGTCATTCAACACGTATACCCTACACCCTCGATGCCCGCCCTCTTCGTCTTCGATCACACCCCTTTCGGGGGGATTATTTCTCTTTGCTGGGGCCGGCGGGCTTAGACGTACGGGCAAACCGGAACGGGCGGACAATCCTTCGGGGGCGTACATCTCTCTGCCCGCCATTGGAATTGGCGCGGGCCCTGCAAGAGGAGGAGGGGAAGAACGAGGGAGAGTGGGAGGAAGGGGAGGGGGAAGGACGAAGGAAGAGGGAAGATACCACGTTGTGAAGGCGTCCTTGGCGCGTACGTGGTTCCTGAGCGCCGAAACGCAATTCCAGAATAATTTGTGAGGACATCGCACGCGAGAGCGCAGTCCTGAGTACATTGTGAGGAAATCTCAGGCGGAAGCGGGGGCCCTGACTAAGTTGCGAGGAAGACTCAAGCGGGAGCGCCGTTGCTGAGCAAATTGCACAGAAGTCTCAGGCGGGAGCGGGGGTCCTCACTAAATTGCGAGGAAGTCTCAGGCGGGAGCGCCGTTCCTGAGTCAATTGCGCGGAAATGTCAAGCAGGAGCGGGGGTCCTGAGTAAAATTCGAAGAAGTCTCAGGCGGGAGCGCCGTTCCCACGTAAATTGCACGGAAGTCTCAGGCGGGAGCGGGGGTCTTGATTACATTGCGAGGAAGTCTCAGACGGGAGCGCCTTTCCTGAGTAAATTGCGCGGAAGTCTCAGGCGGGAGCGGGTGTCCTGAGTAAAAATCGAGGAAGTCTCAGGCGGGAGCCGTTGTTGGTGTAGCCCGGGGGGCAGGGGCACAGTTTGAGCAGGAAGACTTTCCTTGAGAAAAAAACAAGGTGCGAGCCCAGGGGGTGGCACTTCAAACGAAAAAAATCCACGTGCACCGGTGGGGGGGGATCAACAATAATTATTCTTCAAGAATGAGAGTTCAACAACAACAACAACAACAAACAAACAAACAAACAAACAAACAAACAAACAAACAAACAACAAACAACAAACAACAAACAACAAACAACAAACAACAAACAACAAACAACAAACAACAAACAACAAACAACAAACAACAAACAACAAAAAAACAACAACAACAACAACAACAACAACAACAACAACAACAACAACAACAACAACAACAACAACAACAACAACAACAACAACAACAACAACAACAACAACAATTACTAGCACGTGGGGACACTCCGTTCTCACCAGTGCCAGGGTTTTCATAGGAGGCGGGCAATGCCCCCACTTTGTGGGGGGGCCGGTTCAAGCTCTACCAAATTTCCAAACGACTCTTCGCCACCACCCACACCCAGCTTCCCGCCCTATGACGTTCGGACACTTCACTTCGTGGCCTGCGGACGACCTTGGCTACTACACTGGCGCATGGTTACAATGACTTCTTGTGGTAACATCTTGTGGAAACTAGCTTAGTATACGACTTATACCCCTGTTCCAACAATGGGCACGTGTACCGTTTTCCGACGTTTTAACGTTTCTGTACCACACAAGCCAAGACCCTTATTTTGACTGGTATCACGTGCGTGGCGCCAGCATACCACAGGACTTGTTTCCGTTGTTGCGAGACGATATATGCTCATTCTTGTTCTGTGGTTCTCGTTCCGGCCTCAATGTGCAACACTGGCTCACTCGTCGACGAAATACACGTGACTACCTCTCTCTGGTTGGAGGTCCTGATGGTTGTGGTTGTCCCGATAATTGTCGCGATGAGTGTCCCGATGATTGTCCCGATTGTTGTTCCGATGGTTCTCCCGATGGTTGCCCCGACGGTGGTCCCGATCGTTGTCCCGATGGATGCCCCGATGGTTGTCCCGATGGTTGTCCTGATGGTTGTGGTTGTCCCGATCGTTGCCCCGACGGTTGTCCCCATGGTTGCCGCGATGGTTGTTCCGATGGTGGCCCCGATGGTTGCCCCCATGGGTGCCCCGCCGGAGGAGGAGGAGGAGGAGGAGGACAAGGCGAGGCGGACGCATACGTGCTCTGGAAGCATACTAAAGAGACGAGTCTGTGCGCTCATCGTCTTCTGGCATGCGCCTGTCCCTAACGGCACGCATCGGGCGCAACACTGCAAGCTGCGCTCCTGGCACCCATACATCAGGGGCCAAGTGTCCCAGCATGGTGCCGATGCGCCTCCTCGCGGACACATCGCCCGTGCGTCCGTGGGGCGCCAATACCGCCAGGACGCCCTGGACATGCGCCGGCATACCCAGATCCACGCGGTAATCCATGACATTCCCATACTCGGACTGCCCGAAAGAACGCCATACAGGCATGTGCCACCAATGATCCTGCTTCGGGAACAAGGTGATACCATCCTTGACGTCGTGGGAGGCATTCCACAGAGCCATACATGGCGGCTCCATGCCCATGGATGCCGTGTGTGTTGCCACAAATACATCCAGGCTCGCCATGCGCCTGTATGACAGACCTGATACCACCTCGGAATGCACGTGAATACGCAGGAGCTGCAACAGCCTGCGCAAGCCAGCATACACCCAGCCGCCGGGTCGGACGAATACGTGCGAACTCCAGTTCGCTATACCAGCTTGGGTGCACAGCCGATTGAATACTTCCGCAAGTGTGCCCAGATACTGCGCGGCTGGATCTTTGAAACCATCAAAGTTGCCGAATACCACTCTGGGGTCTCGATGCCTCCCATACGCCGCTGGTTCTCGACCATACCGTTCTCCTTTGAACGGCGCGTGCTCTCCGCGGTCGACACACACAGGCATACACCCGTGAGTCCCTGCCACATACATTCGTGTGATTTTATGATGCGCGGTGCTAAAATTCTTAAGAACCCAATGGTTTTTGGAGATTTCGGCGTGCGCGCGCGAAGAAAAAACGAATGTGTCCCGCATGGTATTATTTGACAGGGATGATGGCCCTGGCAGGTGCGCAACCGTTGTCGCAGAAGTTCGAAAAAGTTGCTCGCAAAAGCCCGTTTGACAGAAATGTTTAAAAAGTGTTGGGTTTCCTACGAATCCGCAAGAGCGCGCGGGATGAGATTTTGACATTTTTTTGTTGAAAAACCATTGGTTTTTTGATGTTTTTATGTTAAAATCGCTCCGAACACTAAGCTTTTGGAAGGATTTCGTCTTGCGCGCGCGAATGTCCACTTTACCTTATTTTTTGCAAGGGATTCTTGAAATTTGATTATATTAGAACAAGAAATGTCATTTTATAGTGTTTTTTGCAAGGGAAAACGGATTACAACAAAACAACCGGATCTGGATCACATCGTTTTACCTGAGGCTTCCTCACGAAAATGATGAAAATGTAGCTGCGGCCTAGGCGGCGCAGGGGGGGCGCGCACCAGGGGGCCCAACAATAATTATTCTTTAGAATAAATAATGTTCAACAACAACAACAACAACAACAACAACAACAACCAACAACAACAACCAACAACAACAAACAACAAACAACAACAACAACACAAACAACAACACAACAACAACAACAAACAACAAACAACAAACAACAAACAACAAACAACAAACAACACAACAACAACAACAACAACAACAACAACAACAACAACAACAACAACAAACAACAAACAACAAACAACAAACAACAAACAACAAACAACAAACAACAAACAACAAACAACAAACAACAAACAACAAACAACAACAAACAACAACCAACAACAACAACAACAACAACAACAACAACAACAACAACAATAACAACATCAGCAACAACAACAACAACGAAAATCCGCACCGCGGAATTCCACTTCAGCCACGTACCCAGGGACAGTGAATGACCGTTCGGCCCCCGCACTCTGATACAAGATAAGCTTGTCAGCGATCGGGGACGCTCGTCCCAGGGCGGATGGAAAGTTCAAACCAACCTGCCATCGCTAGGTGGCCACATGTGACCTATACCCCCACCCCCCTTAGAAATCGTGGGGGGGGGGTCATTAGGGTTCATATGTGGTCATCGAATCGTAGGGGTATAAACCTTGCAGCCGCCCAAGGGGCAGGCGTCCCTGACAGCGGACACGTGCACTTGATAGCGTTCTTTGCCAGCTTAAAAAAAGTTGTCGGTCCGTCTTTCGCCCTGTGGGGGCCTGCAGGCGTCTCCGGAGTCAGGGCACCTCCAGAGGCCCTCAGACAGCCCTGCAGAGGGTTCGTGTCGTGACGACTTCGGCCTTGGTTTCTGACACACCGCGTGCAGACAAGCGCGATCCACTACTCGCAAAGCAGCTGCTCGCAAATCGCCTGGACCCAGCGCAGGGGAGTCACAATATACTGCACGAATGCAGACGTATGGTGTTTAGGGACGTCTGCGAGTAGGCATGTTGCAAGTAGTGGAACGCGCTCGGCGAGCGTGGATCGGTCAACCTTCAACGATCAGCGGCTTGCCAATCGAGCACACGATTCGATGCCGGCCGACTCCAGGCCACTGGCAGCGTTCCGCCTGGAACACCCGCGGCGGTCGGAGGTGGCCGGGGTTAGGCCCGCAGAGATCGGTCCTCCTCCCTCCTCCCTCCTCCCTCCTCCCTCCTCCTCCTCCTCCTCCTCCTCCTCCTCCTCCTCCTCCTCCTCCTCCTCCCCCTCCTTCCCCTCCTCCAAAGGGGGGGGGGGGGCTTCGGCAAATTTAATCAATATCGGTCCCCAGACCCTTCCCAGGGTCGAAACTGACAAGTTGCTCAAGCCGCATCCAGCCGTGGCGACGAGGGGGCCATTTCTCCCCCCCTGTCTGCTGGCCGCAGACCGTTGCTGGGCCACCACAGCCCCCCAGCCGGCTCCAAAGCGTCCGGGTCGCCGCCGCGTCATCACGAGGCGAACCTGCCGTACACGCGCCTCGCGCCACGCGAGGCGCGGCGACCATCGCACTCGACAGGGGCATGGAAAAATGGTCACGATGCCCAGCAGCACATGTTGCCCCAAACCGACAGCGGCCACTCTTGTGCAGGCGACTTCTTGACTCAAATGGACAACGCCCGCGGCGACGCAGACAGCGAGGCCTGGTCGCCGACCCGGGCCAGTCAGGATCTGCAGGATCCTGCAAAATCCTGCGGGATCCTGCGAGCCGACCCGGGTCCGTGCGGCCCTGGCTCTGCAGGAGCCTGCAAGATCCGCCACTCTGGCTGGCCCCCGTGTGCGTTGACCCACGCCGCAGGGCTCCAGACGAAATGGACCAGACTTCAGTCGGGCACGTCCCCCTGCAGGCGGATTCTGGAAGAAACGTGACAATCGTCCAAACATGTACAAAAATCGCCAACAACAGTCGCAAGAATCGTTCCCAGACAATTTTTGCTACAATGTTTGAACTTTCCTCCTGTACAGGGGCGTGCCCGACGTACGACTAGACTTCTCTGTCGGTTTTCGCCCCCGCCCTGTCCGCAGCCCCTTTCGATCGCGCCGAGGCCGCGCCCTCCGCGGGGGGGACCGCCCAGGCCGCGGCGGCTCGAAGCCGCCCTGGCGCACCCAGGCGACGGCGCGGTCGCGGTCGAGCGCCATCTGCCTCCTTCGCGGGGGGAGGGGAGACACTCTGGCTCCGAAAAGAGATGGAGGAGGAATAGGAGGAGGAGGAGGAGGAGGAGGAGGAGGAGGAGGAGGAGGAGGAGGAGGAGGAGGAGGAGGAGGAGTGAGTGAGTGACGACGGTCGCGCAGCGAGTTCGGTGACGGACGGACCCCGACGGCGGGCCTCGGCTCTGCTGAGGGCCTTGGGCCATCTCCCAGCAGCTATGTTAGCGAGGTGTTGAGCACGATTGGGATTTGCGGCCTCGAGGCATGGGCGACCAAGACCTCTCAAACACTGGCTAGCGTAGCATCCACACTGAGCACAAAACCACAATCTAATCCCGTCATGGAATCGCATCCGATGACTGCTATGCACCTCCCTTTCTGCTATATGCAGTGATGTCCCTTCTGGAGGCCGGAAAAAAACATCAATATGATGGGGTTCAAAACAAGGACGTTCAGACCAAGCTGCACGAGCTGCAATGGAACTAAAGCACTTCAGACGTCTACGACCACAATCGGCTAAAATGTGGGACATAGTGAAAACACGCACAGCTGTGGGGGCTGGTGAGGGCTGAAGCCGCTCAGATTTTGTCCTGGGGGCACCTCCATCCAGCTCCTTCTCTCACTCCAACACATCAACAGTCGCCCGAAGAAGGCGAAGTCTAATCAGGAAGGCTCTGCGTTCCACATCGTTAGAAGCGTGCCTCTCCTGCTCGGGGACACGGACACGATCGGCAACAGCCCTAGATAAAAGATCCGCCACCGTGTTGCCCTTCACCGTCCACGGCGGCGCTGAGCGACGCACCAGTTCTGCTTCGTCCTGGTGCGCGTTGATGAATGGCACTGCAAACTCTGCAGCATCTCTCCATCTGGAAATTTCTCCCGGCTGCCACCAGAGGTCTGCATCTGGACCTGTCGGAGCTTCATACCTTCGTGCCGCCCATCCATCTGCAACTCTGCTGTTGTCGGGAACATATATAACATTGCCCTGCGTGGACTGCGCCGTGAGAAGGAGTGCTCTCAATTCTCCTCGGGGTACTGTTTGGCGCAGCCCGCACAAAGGTCCCGTGATGGAAGCTCCTACACAGAACGGCTGGCGACTCTGTAATCTGACGATTGCTATGCCCACTCTGCGGAATCGGTTACTGCTCGAATCCGCTCCTCCACTGACATCTCCACATACATATGTCGGTTGGCTCGGGCTCCCATATCCAAGGGACACCTCGGTGATACAAGAAACCGTCGTGCAAACTGTTGCCCACATCTCTTCCATGGCTGGAGGCGACACCGCAAGCATGCGATGGAGGATCCCTTCGGCCATCAGAAACCAGGAACCAGTAGTAGGAGTAGTAGTAGTAGTAGTAGTAGTAGTAGTAGTAGTAGTAGCAGTAGCAGCAGCAGTAGTAGTAGTAGTAGTAGTAGCAGTCGTAGTAGTAGTAGTAGTAGTAGTAGTAGTAGTAGCAGTAGTAGTAGT